CCCTCTTTTTTGAAAAAAAAAAGTGCTTTACACTATATCCATCATACTTTATAATTTGCTCTTAAAAAGACTTATTATATCATGAAAACCCTCCAGGTCAATAGATTTATTAATTTTAATAGCTACATAATATAGATATGCCATATTTCATGGTATGGATAAACCACACATTATTTAACCATTCCGGTAGTTTCCAGTTTTTTGCTATAGCTAACAGAATAGAGAGTGTGCAGAAATAGGCATAAGAATTTATGGGAACTTAATATATAATAAAAGAGGCCTTCTAATTCTATAGAGGAAAACTCCAAAGACTGTTTATTTAATAAATGATGCAGGTATAATTTGCTAGTTTTCTGGAAAAAAAATTAGACCTGTATCTTGTACCATATCTACAAATCATGGTCAACCATCATTCTACTTTTGTCTGACTTTGACTACTCTGGGCACCTCATATAAATGGGATCATATAGTATCCGTCTTAGTGTGACTAGCTTATTTTACTTAACATAATGTCCTCAAGGTTTATCCATGTTGCAGCATGTCACAATTTCCTACGTTTTCAAGGCTAACTAACATTCCACTGTATGCACACACCATATTTGGCTTACTTCACTCTTCTGTCAATGGACAGTCATTGCTTCCATGTTTTAGCTACTATGAATAATGCTATAATAAACACAGGTGTACAAATATCCCTTAGAGACTTTGCTTTCAATTCTTTTGAGTATGTATCCAGAAGTGGAATTGATGGATCACATAGTAAATCTATTTTTAAATATTCTTAGGAACTGTCACAGTTTTCCATAGTAGCTGAATCATTCTGTGTTCCCACCAACAGTGCACAAGTTATACATTTCTCCACATCCTGCCAACAGTTGTTATTTTCTTCTTGATACTTAATGGATGTCAGGTGGTATCTCATTGTGGTTTTGATTTGCATTTCTGTAATAACTAGTGATGTAGAGTATCCATTCATGGGCTTCTTGGCCATTTGTATATCTCCTTTGGAGATATGTCTATTCAAGTCCTTTATTGATTGATTGACTTTTTATTTTCTTATTGAAGTATAGTCAGTTTACAATGTTGTGTCAACCTCTACTTTTGAATCACTTTGCTTGTTTTTAGTTCTCTATATACTCTCATATTAACCCCGTATCAGATATGATTTGCAAGTATTTTCTCTCATTCTGTGATATTTGTCTCATATATATCATTATATATTATATATACATCATTGTTATTATATATCATTATTTGTCTCATTATATGTATCATTGATTACATACACATCATTATGTTATTATACATATCTCACTATATATATGTAACAAATATTTGTATTTCTGCCTTTTCCCTCTGTTGATAGTGTCCTTTGAAGCACAGAAGTTCTTAATTTTCATGAAGTCAAATTTGTCTATTTTTTCTTTTACTGTCTGTGCCTTTAGTGTCATATCCAAGAAATCACTGCCAAACCCAATGTTGTGAAGCATTTGCTCCGTGTTTTCTTCTAAGAGTTTTATAATTGTCACTCTTACATTTAGGGTTTTGGTCCATTTTGAGTTGATTTTTCTATACAGTGTTAGGTAAGGTTCCAACTTTACTCTTTTGCATGGGGATATCCAGTTTTCCTCAACCATTTGTTGGATTGTCTTTTCCTCACTGAATAGTCTTGGCACCTGTCTCAAAAAACATTTGACCATACACACAAGGGTTTGTTTCTAGGCGTTCTATTCTATTCTATTCTGTTCCACTCCATTCCATTCCATTGGTCTGTCTATCTTTATGCCAGTGGTCATTTGGATCACTCTCCCACTAAAGACAACTAAAAAAGTTGGACAAATACATATTTTTTCTTAAAAGCATTAAATTGCTAACAAGATAGTGATTACATATTAGTTATTACTGATCCGAGACCAAAGGGAGAATGGAAATCTAGAGGTGAGCTTAACAGCAGATTAAGCCTAACCCTTTCTCCTGGAGATGTCTGCCAGTCCTAAAAGTGTAGCTGAGAAATGAGCTAAGCTTTTGGCAACCTTGTAGGGCTAGGGAAACAAAGGCTGAAGTACAGGCCTGCCAAGGTAAGCGTGATAAGCAGAACTTGGAGGGCTGGTTGTACCTTAGGAATAAAGTGAATGAGAAGCAATTTCAACCTACACTGCACCTTGGCTTTGAATCATCTGGGTGGCTCAGAAAATCTCAGACCTAAAACTGAATCAAGGTGGTTCTGAATGTCTAGTACCTCCAGGCACCTGGTAGAAAAAGCCCAACCCTACCTTGAGGAAGATACCATTCTAGAACTCAAGTTACTTCCTCACATAGATGTGTCAGGCATCACATCAAATGTAATCAACACCAAAGAGAAAAACACGTGAGTGCGATTCAACAGAAACCACAAATAGAAACAGATCCACAGGGAGTCTAAACATAAGCGTTAACAGACACAGTCTGTAAAGCAACTATGCTCACTGTTAAAGGATAGAAAAGCTAAGTCTGACATTTTCAGCAGGGAACTAGAAACTATAAAAAGTTTTCAAAAGAATCAAATAAAAATTCTAGAACTAAAAATACAACCACCAAAGTTAAGAAAATGGTCTTGTTTAAAAGTAGATTAGACATAGCTGAAAGAAAGTCAGTGGATCAGAGGGTAGGACAGGAGAATCAAGGAGGTATGCAGCACTGACAGACTAAAGATGGAGAATAGAGGAGGGAAAGAAACATCAAGGATACAGTGAGAAGGCCCAGCAGACAGATAACTGGCATCCCAGAACGAGGGGAGAAAGAATGAGAAGAGGCAGCATCTGAAGAAAGGATGGCCGAGAATTTTCCAAAATTGATGAAAGACATCAGTCCACATCCAATAAACCCAATGAATGCCAAGGAAGATGAATGCCACTTAGACACAGCAGGATGACACTGCAGAATACCAAAACCAAAGAAAAATCTTTTAAGAAGAGACTGTCAGAGAAACAGCATTAGCTTCAAAGGAGCACCCGTTGGACTGACTGCTGACCTCTCAACCGCAAAAACAGAACCAGAGAAAGGTGGAATCAGCTTTCTCATGTGAAGAAGAAAGTAACTGCCAATCTACACAGTAAGAAACTCAACATAAATTCACAAGGATGAGGAGGACAGGAGAGGAAAAAAACAATGATAAAAATCCTGGAAGTTAAGAAGGCATATGGACAAGTAGGAACTGACTTCCAAGAGAGTGGAATCCTAAACTAGCGGTGAGGAAAGCTGAGCATCATGACAATGTACTGGCAAAATCTTTCTAAGGCCCAGGAACAAAGAGTACCAAGTACTTCCGCAGCTGGGTGTGAGTGGGGTTGGCTAACATAAAGAGGACTGGTTGAAGGCTGTTTAGGAAAGAAGTCCCCAAATGTTTCCTACCACCCAATCACTGGGTGACTCTCTTCCTCCCATCCCAGCAAAGCCTGGAGGCTGATTCTCAAGAGAAGAGAAAATCGAGTCTCTGGGCTTGGGGAGGCCACAGCCAGGGAGATTAAGGAAGCTTATGCACCGTGAACTTTGAATGTGGATATCCTCAAAGCTCCTCCACTCAGCTCTCAGACCCAGCTAGGCCTCTGCTGTCCAAGCAGGAGGTTGGACAGCTCTCCTCTGGGGACTTGGCTGGCCTAAGAGAGCAGGGGCTCCCCCAGAAAAGACCCACCTGACAATTCTACAGTAAAGCTCCAACAGGCCCCATCAACATGCTCAGAACTACCCATTAGCCTTTGTCTCCCACTCTTAAACAAGAATTGTTAAACATGAAAGGAAAACCTCGTAAGTGAAAGGGAGACTTGAGCACGAAAAACAAAAACAACTTAGAGGAAACAGGATAAAGCAGCAGAAAGAAGACAAAAACTGTAATAAAAAAATAAATAAAAATAAATATCCTTAAAATGGTATTGCATCCATGAAACAAGAGTGGGATGTGACAGATCACATTTTTCAGCTGTCTGAGCTCCACTCTCACCCTTGCAGGGTCACCTCCATGACACAGGGAGGTTAGAAGGCAACCAGCTGGGCTCCCAGACTCCTTTGCAGGTGCTTCTGACCAGGTGCTGCAAACGGAACACGCGGCGGGGCCTGGAAGGTGGGACACAAAGGAGAAATTTTTCTTTGGTTTTGGTAGCACCTTTGGCAGCAGAAGCAGCAGCGGAGGATGGGTGCTTCCTCTCTGTCAGCGGTGGTTGCAGCAGTACAGTCCGGAGTGGGGGCGCGATTTCTGCTCAGTAGCAATGGTGTGGTTCTAACGCAGTGGCAGCAGGGCCGTGCTTCCAGCCCAGCAGCAGTGAGTATGTGTGGGCTTCTGGCACTGGAAGCTTCTGATCTTGGGGGGGCATCCTCTCTTCCTTTTTGCTCTTCCAGACCTCTTGACATCATTTAATCGACCCCTTCCATTAAACTCCACTTTGCTTGAAATACCCAAATTGGTTTCTGTTTTCTTTTTCTTTTTTTTTGAGTAAACACTGACTGACTGGGATGCTACAAATAAAGAACCATTCAAAAAAAAAAAAGAGAATTCTTGGATATTAAAAATGTGAAAGCAGAAATAAAAAATTCAACAGATATATATATATACATATAACTGAATGATTTTGCTGTACACTTGAAATATTGTAAATCAACTGTACTTCAGTTTAAAAAAAGATAAACGAGAAATATTAATCTTGAAAAAAAAATTCAATAGAAAGGTTAGAAGATAATGTTGGTGAAATCACCCAGAAAGCAGAAAGAAATGAAAATAAAACTCCAATAACATCAGCAAGGGTAAGTGCTCAAAGTTGGCAGTAAATTGTAATAATATCATATAACACTATCATGTATAAATTCTCGATGGTGCTGAAAGCACACATCCCGCCTGGCATTTGAATGTGACATGGCTACATGTGTAGTCGGGTCCTGGTGAACACAAGTTTAGGAGAGTAGAGAAGTATCAATTTAAAGAAAACTAGAGGAAGGGTATAATCTTCTAATGAATAACACTCTGACAAGAATTTTAAGTATATGCATAGATAGAGAAGCTTTATTTGAATGTCTATGTAAATATGAGCTGATGTCGAATAGGAAAAGGTTTTTCCAAAGGGTTAAAATTTATCAAATTTTAGTTTGGTTCTTCGCTTTAGTTTGCCTCTGAATTCAGCTGGCTGACACTTCATTATTATTAGTATCTGCCCTCACTAATCATTTTCAATGCATACAAAACCTAGAAATCTTTGGGTGACACTTCTCATTTCTCTGGAAATCTCTTAAACTGCTTTCAGTTACAACAGAAGGGCAAAGTTTTTATCCACTCATACTCTGCTCCACTGGAGGCAAAAACACATCCCTCAATCCTCTTGTTTAAATTGTGGCTTTTGGCAACGTGTCCAAATGACGAACTTGATGCTAACACATAAAGAACACAGTATGATCTCTGTGCAACAGTACCTTCACTTTAATTTTTCTCATTAAAGAATTATTTTTATTTTTATTATTTCTCCACAAAGAAGTTATAAAAATACCTATAAAAACATTGAAAAGGCACTTTAAAAGCCTGGAATATAAAGTATAAATTATGATACATCTTCTATGGTTTGCAAATAAGAATAAAATAAATTCTACAAGCTAGAATTTCTGAATGATTTTGATAGGAATCTACTCGAAGGAACCAGAACATCACAACACCTTAAAGACTGTCTATTTTCATCCCAATCGAGTTTTTAAAAAGCTATAATCTGTTGACAGGCACAATCCACACAGGAACTCGCTGTTGCCACTAATGATGAAATTAACCTGAAGGACAGAGATTTGTATGTGAGACGTGCCAGGCTCTTCTGTGCAACTGACTGAAGGAGTCTTCTCTTACTTTTCCCCCTTCTGTTTTAAATAAAAGTAAATATACATATGGTAAAAAATTTAAATGGTACAGATAGATCTAAAATAATAAGTAAATATCCTTTTTTCCCATAACCTAGAAAATCTGATGTCTTCAAAATCATCAAACAGTCACATGAATAATTTGCAAAGTGAAGTCAACCTTGGAGTCTCTTCATCTGAAATGTGTCCATTTTCTCATATATTACCTCTGTTACAGAGGAAAGCCATGCAGTCATCTCTTTAAAAAAAAACTAATTACAAAAGCAACGTGCACACTCCGCTCAGAGACAGCAAGTCCAGGCAGCACCTCATACTCCATGAATCTGGTCTCACCCCTGAAATTTAGGAATCACACTTACTAACAAGGCATTTTCAAACATCAGAGCTTCAACTTAATCAACATTAAGTCATTGGATCCTTGTAAATTGGAGAAGATTAACTCTGCCAGAGATTCAGCTTGTCTGGTCATAACTTAATTGAAAGATATCTTTATTTAACACTGTGCAAAAGGGCATGAGCTGTAGAATCCCAAGCGTTCAAGTTAAAACTTGGTCAAATCTTTTCTAAAGAACAGAGGGAAGGTGAGGCATCAGAGGACTAAGGATGGAGAAGGAAAATTCCTTCAGAGAAACTCCCACCCCAGTGATGAGAAGCTGGCTGTTCTTTCCCCCCGAAATGCACTCATGCTCTGGTGAGCAGGAAAGGCTTACAGAGACACAGGCGACAGGAGCTCAGCCGAGCCCTTCCTGAATGCCTCGGATCCTCCTGGCCAGTTGCACATCCTTCGGGAAGAGAGTAACACGGCCGGCGTGTAAGGAGAGGAGGTAGGCGTCCTCAAAGAGATGAACCAGAAACGCTTCTGCCGCCTAAGGACAGAAAGAGGAGAAAGACTGACAGACGAGGTGTCACGGGCTGCTTTTTGCTTAGAGACATGCTCAGCTCAGTCTCTGAGGGCTTGAAGGACTATAGGAAAGACAAAGGAGACTGAACGTTGCATGGGAATTCTGCTACTGCCAAATAAGAACCTGGCCTCCACGCCCTGAGTGTTCCTTGTTGCTCTTTTTAAGGAAGTGAGATTCAGCCTGACAGTCTACAGTCAGCCACTCGGAGTTCCAGAACGCCTTTCCCCCATACTCACCCCTCACCCAATTGTACCTTGGCCCCCGTCTTACCTCTTGTAGGGCCAACAGGGCTTGGGCTTGCCAATTGAAGTCCACACCACGAGTGAATTGAACACATATTTCTCTTGCCTGTGAAGGAGTGGGGATGGGAGCAAGGGAGAAGGGGAGTGGGGAGGAGCAGAGAGTAAAAGGAGATTCGAGAGAAGACAGACTCTCTCCACAAGTCTCCATGAATCTTCATTTCCGTTATTCCTTCCTGGCCCTTAATCTTAGGACTTAACTAGTAACTGGCATCAAGTCCAGGGAGCTTAGGAATCAGCAAGTCTCTTCTTTTTTTGGTGGTGGGGAGAGGAGGAGACAGTCTCCTGGGGCAGGACAAGGGATGAAAGGGTGGCTGGATGAGAGGTTCCTGTTTACACAGTCAAAGAACACAGTTTCAAAGGTGGTAGTGGTTAGAAATTAATTCTGTAAAGAATTGGAAGGTGCCCTTGGCGGGCTCATGTTTTCAGAAAAAGAAGAGTCCCCAGCCAGGTTAGAGAAGAGGTCCTTTGCCCTTTGGGCAAGAGATGACAGGGCCCCAATACCTGGGAAATTTATAGACAGGAGGCCACACGGGGGTTGGCGGGAAGCTTCCTGGAGCTTACCAGGCGGCAGAACGGGGCCTTCCTTAACAACAGGTGTGTGCTCTTCTGAAGAACTCGGATCTCTCTCAGTACCCGATGTCTCCGACGACGAACTGGAAGGGAGGAAGCGCCTGAGCAAAAGAGTCGGGTCATAGGGGTAAAATGCCACGGAAGAGAGGGGACGCACTGCACCCTGGCTGCCAAACTGCCAAAGCGTAGGCCGTAATAGGCTCCACAGACACAGGGCTTTCTGTCTGCTGTAGTCACTGCGGTTATCTTCAGCAGCTGGAGGACAGCGGACAGGTGCTAAATAAATATTTGGTAAATGAATGAAAAATGATCCTCTGAAGGTCTTATTTTAAATGCCAGCTCTTCCATGCAGCCTTTCCCGACTCCCAATCCCTTCCAAACCGATGGGTCACCTCCCTTCTCTGGGCCCCACAGTACTCTGTGTATCTCCTCTTATCTTTCCCACTGAGATTGGAAACCAAGTTATTTTGGTTTTAGGTCTTTTTTTAAGAGCTGGAAGGAATCTGAGAGATTTTCTAGTACAATTCCCTTGCCACGGTTATCCTGAGGTCCCGAGAGGTGAAGACAGTCGGCCACAGCTCATTAGTGGCTGAGGTGGGACCTCAGAAGTGGCATAACTCAGTGCCAGTGCCTTTGGGCCCTGGAGTCAAAGCCTAGTTCCAACAACAAACAAGAAAAAAAATCTGAACAGCATTTCCAAAAAGTAGAAATCAAAAAAGTCAAACTCTCTGATCAGAAATTAAAAACACAGGAATACAAAAAATAAAAATTTTTCTAACTCTTGATACTTCATTGAAATTAGACTATTTAGAAATGAATAAAAATTAAAAGTCTACATCAAAACTATCTATCTCAAAACTCAAGAGATAAAGCCAAATAGTAATAGAGGAAAATGCACAGCCTTGAGATCTATCTACCAGAAAATAAGAACATTAAAAGATAACTGGGCTAAGTGTTCAACTCACGTATTTAGAAGAGAATTATTAAAATAAACCAAAAGAAGGTAGAGTAAAAGTAATATTAAGGGTAATAAACTAAGTTAATGAAAAAAGAGTACAAAACCCAAAACAGTACAGTTGCTCCATAAATTAAACCAAGAGCCTATAAAAATGAATGGACTTCTGATAAGTTGAAAAGAAAAACCCCACAAAAACTAACATTTTGAAGAATAAAATTTGCTTCAGAAATGTTATTCATGGTCTAGCCAAGAAGAGAACCCACACCAAGTAGCTGAATAGAAAAAATTTAATACAGTGAACTAATTACCAAGTGTGAGAAGAGGTACCAGAGCGAACGGGGACAGAGAGGCAGGGCAGGATGCCCTGGCAGTGGAGACTTTATCCCGGGACCAGAGAAACAGGGCAGTGTCCAGGGGATGTTTTAGGAGGAAGAGGAGAAAGAGGGAGGCCCCATACCCAGGAGATGAGTCGCTGGCACCTGTCTCCCTCCTCATCACCCGCCTGCAATCCACCATCACTGGAGGCAGCCTTTATTAATCAGACAGAGCAGTCACAGGAAGTGTAATGAGCACAACTAAAGATCACCAAGCAAGGCCAACACCATGAAAGGACAGGAACAAACTCAACACACAAAACAACCAGTACAAGAGGGACCTGTGAAGAGAGAGACTTTGAAATATACATAATAACCTCAGAGGGATAGGGGAAGATGTGAAGTCTATGACCCAAGAACAAGAACAAGTGCTTATCTGCTTACAATAGCCACAACCTAAATGTCTATCAACAGATGACTGGATAAAGAAGTTGTGGTATATTTATACAATGGAATACTACTCAGCCATAAAAATAATGCCATTTGCAGCAACATGGATGGACCTGGAGAATGTCATGCTAAGTGAAGAAGCCAGAAAGAGAAAGAAAAATACCATATGATACCCTTTATATATGGAATCTAAAAAAAAAAAGATAAACGAATTTATTTACAAAACAGAAACAGACTCACAGACACAGAAAACAAACTATGGTTACCAGGTGGGGAAGTGAGTGGGAAGAGATAAATTGGGAGTTCTAGATTTGCATGCACTAACTAATATACATAAAATAGACATAAAGTTTATACTGTATAGCACAGAGAACTATATTCAATATCTTATAGTAACTTAGGGTGAAAAAGAATATGAAAATGAATATACGTGTTTCTGTATGACTGAAGTATTGTGCTGTACACCAGAAACTGACACATTGTAAACTCACTATACTTCAATAAAATATATTTTTTAAAAAAAGAACAAATGCTTATGAAAAGCAACCAATCAGAGAGGTCATGGGATGGAACTGGGATTAAATTCAATAGTTGGATCTTGAAGTGCTGATATAAGTTGGGATTTAATTCCAAAGTGATAAGAAGCCACAGAAGAGCTTTAAGCAGGACAAAGAGATAATCCATTTACATTTCAAGACCATTCCAGCTGCTGTGTAAAGAAAGAACCAAAAAGGGTGAAGAGTGGAAGTGAAGTAGTAGCTGGGTTAGGATGCTGGGGGCTTGGATTAGGCGGTGGGGGTTGAGAAGGCAACAAGTGGCATGCTTAGGATGCGATCTGGAGGTAGGACTGCCTGAGCTTACATTTGGATTGGATGAAGGTAGGGGTAAGATGAAGAAGCTCTCCCAGGCTTCTGGCTTCAACAACTCTGTGGGGGGCTGTGCCATCTCCTGAAATGGGGGAAGTGGGGATGAAGAGGCAGGAGGGGAGTAACAAAATGTTCAGTTTAGATGTGTTTAGTGTGGCAGACCCAAGAGTCGTCAAATGGAAAGGCAGTTGGACACCGGTACAGGGATCAAAGGGGAGATCTGGGCTGGAGATATAAATGTGAGTGTTATCAGTGTATGCGTGGTATTAGAGTCACAGGAAAGGATGAGCCCACCTGGGGAAGGGAAAAAAGGAAAAGGAGACCACAGAAGTCCAACTTGCTGAAGAGACATAGCACAGGCAGCAAAAATGCCGAGCAGAAACTGCAGAGTATGTGTATCACAGAAGCCAAGGGGATGGTGTGTTTCAAGGAAAACATGGCCCGCTGAGTCAGATCTTCTGAGACTGGGTAAGAGAAGGACACAGGCTTGTCTGGAGTTGGCAACATGAAAGTAGCTGGTGATCTTGACAAGAGGAGTTCAAGTAGAAGTAGGGGTAATGGTTGTGGGAGTCAGATTGGAATGGGTTGAAGGGTGGCTGGGAAAAGGGGAAACAGACAGATGTGTCAGACTTAAGTCTGGCTGTTTTGCAAAGAGTAGTGATGTAAGTGCACACAATAAAGCACAATAAACAAGTTATGGATGTAACGTTCTTATGCAACACCCCCCTCCAAAACACCTCTAGTCGAAAACTCAGTTCAAAATAATAAAATGCAGTTTTTGGACTACTTAATAAACTTGTGTCTAAATAACAAGTGAGACAATAATGATGGTATGGGGGAAAATAAAATCATATTATTACTTCACACCATACACAAAATATCAATTCCTGGTGGACTGATAACATATGAGAAAGGCAAAATTTAAAAACCTTTAGCAAATAATATAAAATAATATATTTTAAAACTTGAAGTAGGACTTCTTAAACAAGATACAAAGTGTACAAACCAAAAAAGGAAAGATGCATCAATTTGATAAAAAAAAATTAAGAACTTCTGTTCATCAAAAAATATCATGAAGGAAAATGACAATCCCTAAAAAAAATTATGATGAGCTTGGAGGGGAGCTTTCCAACGACTACACAAGAGCCTTTTCTTCGGGTTCATATATTATCTGTTCACCTGTATCCTTCAAGCAGGGACATTCAGTGGTTATAATACCACTGCACTCATACCATCCTATCTAAAATATTGTCACTGGATTGCATATTTGGATTTCCATTAAAAAAAAAAAAGGTAGCTATGAAGGGCAGTAGAGAGAGACGGGGAGTATCAGGGAGGCAAGGGTGTGGGGATAAGGCAACACTCCTGCCCTTTAGATCAGAAATAGCAGAGCACATCTGTGGAATGCCAAGGAAAGGAGCATGAATTTAATTCTAAGTGCAGGTGGAAAGGATAACAGAAAGCCCCTGGGAAGGTGACAAACGAATATAGCCAAGAGCTCATGGAGGAGGAAGAGGAGGACCTTTTGATGGAAAGGGGACACCAAGCTTCTCTGTCATGAGAAGATAAAGGGGAATCCAGTCTGGAGGCTTCTATTTCCTCAGGGAAGCATGAGGCAAGGTCATCATCAGCCCAGAGTGAATGAGGGGACTGGAGTTGTAAGGATGCTTCTACATCAGGAAACAGGGAACATCATAATTAATATTCCCATTAAAATTATGAATGAGACAAAGATGACCAAAACCCTGCTCTTATTTCAACACTAGTCTCAGGGCCTCACTAATACAGTAAGAATAAAATGTATAAAAATGAAAAAGAAGATTCAAAAGTCATTATTTGCAGACAGTAAAATAGCCTACTTAAAATTTTAAATTAAAGTAACTGTAGGACTATTAGGACTCACATGAGAATTCAGCAAGTTAGCTGGAGGCAAAGGTTATTTAGGTTTAGGAAAGGAAAAGAATCCCAGTCACAAACTGAAACATCTATAAATAATCTATAATACTTTTTTTCACCCAGCTCTTAGCTACATAGAGGAAGACAAGTAAAGCAGCTGTTGCCACAGTATACACTTCTTATTCCTGGGTCTTCCATCCACCAGACCACAGCACAGAAACTGAGGACCACAGTGGGGTCTTCTTTCCCAGCACATCACCTCTGGAAGGAACAAGGTGAGAGCACTGCTTGATTAGAGCACTTTGGTTAAGGCCAACATAGCCATTCACTGAAGGAAAAAACCAAACCAAACCCCAAAACCTGGAAGGGCACCTTCTAAAAGTAAAATTGTTGTTTGAAATTGTCACAAAAAGCAGCCAATAATTTTGCAACTTAAACACTTATTTAAAAAAATCCTGTGTCTGTTGGAACAAGCTGTGTCACTTTGTTCAAGATACCACGGCTGTCTGTGCCTCAGTTGTCTAATCTGTAAATTGGGCACAATATAAAGTTGAGTTAATTCATGTAAAGAATTTAACACAATGTCTACATAGCGGTAAGCACTCAACACATGCTAGTAGAATCAAGAATGAGTCATTGGAGGCAGGTTGTCTGGGCCGTCCTTTCTCATCCTCGGAACTGCCTTCCCCAGTCCCTCCCCGGCCTTGGAACTTGGGCAGTCCGCGAGCAGATGCTGGACGGCAGAACCGCTTTGCGCCCCTGCAGAGGATGCCCAGCGGACCGAGAGGCGGGAGCTGGGGCTCGATCCCAGGCTAAGCAAGCGAGCCTCGGATTTTTGTTTTTTGTTTGTTTTTGCCTGTGAAATGGGCAGGCGGACCTGGCCATGCCCACCTCACAGACGGGCTGCAGGGAGGCCGGCGCGGAGGGAAA